ATAGTAGTGCAGAAATTTTATTTTACACGCGAATCAGGTGCTCGTGGTAGTAGTATTACACTGTATCTACCTCACTCTCCTCCTCCAAATGCGTTCGTTGCCATGGCCAAGTGGAGAAGACGGAGACGAAAGTGGGCACAGGTGGCTGCGCGGCGAGAGGGTCATAGAGGCCCCCTTCGAAAAAACAGTTGCAGCCTGTGTCTGTCGGCCACTCTACAGAAGCACACACTGGGCTGACTGCGAGGGCTTAGTTATTCAGTCAGTTGGCAACCTCCCAAGCCGCAGTTTTTAGCTCAACGTGATAGCTTCAAAAGCGTCACATTTTTTATTGTGAGAAAGATGCGCCGAGACGTCGATCTTACCCTCTTCGTACTCCCAGGCATCAGTTAATCGTCCGAGTCCATCAGTTGTTTGGTTCAGAGAATTGTCTCAGGGGGTGACGTAACTAGTGATCCCATTTGCGCGTGCCACATAAATGACCTAAGCCCCCAAACATAATACACTGAGATTAACTCTAGATGAGATAGGTAGGTGAGAGTCGAATAATTAATTGGCAAACTTCTAAGCCATGGCTTTTAGTGCAACTTGGTAGGCTCGGAGGCATCAGCTTGTTTATAGCGAGAACTATGCGTAGATATTCCCTTTCCTTTCGATTCCCTGAGCCGATCAATTTGTGCAGAGATTGGGAGAGGTGAGTGAGTGAGCTAAAATCAGCCCGGCGGGGCATGCTACACATAAAACCTGATCCCATCAAGCACAATGCACCATAATTACACACTTATGGGTGAACTGCTCAAATCACGCATGTAGCGGAAAAGCCACATGGAGAAGGAGCCAAGAAACACGCTTTCCACTTACGTGAGAAGCGCCGATTACGTACTTGCGGCGTGTGGTGTCGGGTACGCTCATGTACGATGTAGGTGCTGATGACGAGCTATGTGGTTTTGTCGTATAGTCGGTGGTGTTCCACCGCAAGCCTTCATGCAGGCTCATGCGGCGAATGCAGTGTGTTTATGTTGGTACCTCTGGTTTCTAAATTTCTGTGCGATAGCTTCGTTGGTGGTCGGCCAGACCTATGCGTGGTGTGCATGTAAGGTGGTAATCTGGGCAGAAAAGGCTTGAAGTTACAGGGTTTGTTGGTTGTTTGGTAGCCTTTTTTGGATCAGGGGTCCCCGCCGGTGTCCAAACTAAGTGCAGTTGGAAGGCGGAAAAAAGCTGCGACCTCAGCCGGCTTGAGCCAAAGGTCCATGGGGGTTAGTTGGGTGTCTGGCCGGGAACTGCAGCTGAGTCTTGTGTCCACAACAGCTCTCTGTTAAAGACGCTGGAAGCCCGTCTTGATGGCAGAGCCATCAACGGATAGATTCA